ACTTGCAGCTGAGTGTCGCCTTTATATAGCAGTCGGCTGCTCGCAGACGAAAGCGTAGAAGCATCGAATTGTTCGCTATGGAAGGTTCTTGTTTTATCGTTTCTAGAATGTACTAGTTATCGGCTTCTCTCTTTCATCTGACATTCGCCTCGCATTTTCGCAACAGTATTATAATGGATTGTAAAAGCCGTTGGGATTCTATATGATTATAGTGAAAGGAAGAGATATCTAAAGGAGGAAAGAATAAAGGGAATAGAGACAGAAAGAATGAAAAGGAAACAAATGTCAAACGAAAATTGCTTGAAAAAAGTGTCTCCCAGTGAACGTGAAGGGCGACACAAAATAGAAAATAACGATATTTAACGACAAAAGTATCCTCATGTAAGCTCAGACTAAAGGTGCATTTTGCAGGCTTTGTAACACTTGGAAAGAAAAAGATTTTGATTCCTTTAATTTAATAGTTTTTGACTTAATTTTATCAAATGAAAAACTTGTAACACATCCGTAAATGAGCAAAAATACTGCTTGGCGATATGAAATAAAACTCAAGTGTTCATACGTTGTCTGATTTTGGCGTTTTTCGACAATTGGATACACCTTTCCAAATGAGTATATTTCAATCTTGATTTTCAATCCAAAATAATACTTGAGGAATAAAACACCACAAAGTATTTGATTACGAATATTAAGGAACATTTGCATTTGTCGATTGGGTAAGTCTTGTCAAAGACGATTTACAACCTAATCCAACGCAAATATGTAAACGTAAAAATCTGCCATTGCCCTAAATATACCGATCGGACCAACCTTTCCCAAACGATGGACCATCTGGTTTTTCGGTTTGCAAATGGTCTGGATTCGATATATCATGTGATATAGCTGTTTAATAACATTGTGCGAATCTCCCTCAAATCGGGGACAAACGTTTCTTTAGTTTAGTATTTTAAAGCAACACTTTATCTTCTCCTCGAATTCATTCCGAAATTAGCGCTTTTCATATCATGTCTCTTACTTAAAGATACTAGAAGCCACTTCTTCTGGCATCACTTCTTATTACAAAATTCAGCTTATTGGGTAAATAGAGTTCGCTGTGAAGAAATATTTTTTCAAGATTTCTTTCAGGTTGTTTCTTGTACCGGCACGCCTGTCGTAGGTGGCGACTAAAATCCAATAGTTCCCGCGACAGTGGGGTCTTTATACCGGAACGACCCGGATTTTTATCCGTCCAAGGATTGCCACTCCCGCAACAACTGGGAATATTTTTGCGGCTACAACAGCTGTTTGGGCGTTTCGCGTCCGCGTTCACCACCAAACTCAATAATTTCGCTTTTTTATATAGTCTGGAGAAAGAAAAACTAACGGCGCTTTTGTTACGGTCAATGATGTCATTATCATCGGCTTAAACCTGCAGCGGTAAACTCTTGAAAAATTTTCTATCTTCTCGGCACAAGGCTTCCCGATCTGGACGTAACTTTTGGTGTTGCTAAACGTCAGTTCACACAGCTGTACAAAATCGTTCTATTTCCATGAGTCTTTTATAATGTTTCGCGTATGGTGAATATCTGATGTCAGAAACACAATCGGAATGGTTGAAATTTCCAGTCGAGGGGCGACCGCAATTAAAAAATTGAACTTAATTTTTTATTTAAATTAATTTTTCATGACTTTTGGACGTTGGTCTTACGGGGACTTGAACCCGAGTCATCCGAATGGCAGTACGCAATGCTAACCACTCGGCTACCGCGGCCGCCAATCAGTTTGCTGACGGTGGGCTTTAGTTTTACACATAATACCTCGATAGGACCTTACATGCGATATTGAGGAGGCTTATCTCGCGGTAATTGGCGCGAATTGTGGAGGCCCCTTTTTTGTGGATTAAGAAGTGCCCACTTAGGTTCCGATCGCCGGATAGGCTTCCAGATGAACATGCTTTGTAAAGAAGCTATAACATGCCTCTTATCAGTACTTTCGTCCGTATTTGAATAGCTCGGCCGCAATCTATCGCCTTAAGAGCTTAAGGGACATTAAATTGCAGAATGCGGCCTTTTAGTTCAAAGACAGAGTGGATGATGGTTAATATTATTTAGTACTTCGTTTTTGTCCTACTTTCTACCTCGTGGAACCCATCTTACAGTGGCCTGTCCGAATTTTTCACAAGTGTTGCATTTGACTGAACTGTTGCTTAAAGCGGTTACACCAGTGCAACTATTTTACTTGACAAATTTCCGCGCTTTCAGGATCTCCAACAAGAATTTCGAATTTTCCATTTCCATACGATCGGTCTACTTAAAAGCACACGAGACTGTCTCAATGATTGATAAGTCTGGATTGCCGTATGTCATACGCTAAAGAGGAGCACGCCTCGAAAGGTAAATATCTAGAGACTCGTGAATGGAATACATGACATTTCGTATCATATTTATATGTTATCTCTTTGAAGCTTTCTCCAGAGGTTTGCCATAGTCGAATAAGTCAGCCACACAATCTCCGAGGGCTTATGGAACTGAAGTCACGAAAGTATGGTGTTCTCACCAAGGAAACATTATTGGCACAACTTCGATTCATTTTCGGCACAATATCATCGCGAAGAGCAATGGAAGGAGAAGCCGAGTGAATCGTGAATGAGCCGTATTTGTTAAAGTAGCAAATCATGTTATTCGTTTGTCGTAGAAACGTAGTTTTATATGTACGTATATGTATGTATGTACGTGTATATGTATATATTGGTAAATTAATGAACTATTAAATGACTTTCGAAGGTTCATCAATCGTTTTGTTGTAATAAATAAATTAAAAAACATTTTGCTTCGGCTGTCCAACTGAGCATAATTATTATTTTTATTTATGTTATATTTGTTATATATATGTATGTATGTACGTATGTATATATAATACATGCATTATTTTCCCAACAAAGATACATTTCTGTACATATTTACCACAACAGCTGATCAATAATTATTTATGCATACGCATGAGCTGTAAAGAGTCTAAAGAAATTTAATGAAAATTAGTAAGAAAACAAAAAAGTTGAAACAAAAACAACAAGAGTAAGCCAGCGAATAACCATTAGTTGTTCGTCCAAATATAAATTCATCATCTTGGAGCGACAAACATCAATTCAAGAGGCGAGGCGTCAAATTCATATTAAACATCGGCACCAGCCAGTCAACCCCGGCTTGCTCTTCGTCGATCACAGTTGGTCAATACACACAAGTGAAGCTAGTGAAGAGAATGTGATGTACCCCACTGTGAGTATGTACATACATAGATATTTTTGTTGCCTAGTGTTAGTGCTTGGCGAAGGTGAAGACGAAAAATGTACAAACAATAGCAGTTAAACAAATTTTTTATAAATGAAATAAATTAATACAAAAAAAAAAAAAAAAAACAAGAAAGAAAAAAACAGACACCACCTCGTATATATGAGTATGTATGTATCTTGCAACAATAGCTGACGTAAACAACAACTAATAATGCTTAATCAATGCTACACTTTACGTCTGAAGTAATGAAGAAAATTAAAAAAAATTGATCGAAACAATTTTCAAGTGTGAAACTGATTGCATTCAACTTAATAAAAATTAAAAAAATTTTAAAAACTAAAAAAGTTAAAATGAATATAAAATTGTTCGCATTTCGAAGAAAGCAAGTAAAATTTGTGAAATTAGTTAATAGAAAGAAGTGCTGAGCGCATCTTCATTGTGCAAATGATTGATCGCTCTTCATTGATGAATTGTAGAAAATACATATATATCTGCATACATATGAACGCTATATGTATGTATATGTAAAGTATGTTTTTTAAAGACATGTGGTTTCCAATGAGGCAATACTTTTTTCGGAGTTGGTTTTTTTGACAGCTGTTACTCAGTTTGTCTTGCCATTTCGTAATGAATAAAAGTAAATACTTGAATATCGTACAAATTTATTAACAAAATAATGATTCAGTTTGCGTGATGCATCACGCGCTGTATCAAATATTCGGGCAACATAATAGAGGATCCTTGGCGACGCCGTACACTAAAGCTCGCAGCAGAGTATCGAAATCCAACCCTTCTTCCACGGCGATCCTGAACGACTATGAAGCACTTCGCACGCTCGGTGAATGTGCCAAATATGTTAAAGTGATCGAAACTTGAGCCCCTCGGCTGTAATTTATTCGAGCTAGCGGCGGTGGTCATTTTTAATTAATTTGCTTACAATTAGTTAATGAAATTGTCTTCTGTGGCGCCAGCTAAAAATTATTAAGTTACACTTACATTAAATCAAAAATGTAATTTTTTCCACCTATAAATTGTAATTTTAATGAAAAGATTTTAATTCATAACTTTGTGCGTCTCTACTCTACCCATTACGACTAGAACATGCTTCATCTTTTTTCGTAAAACGCAATTTACAATAAGCCACACGTTATCGTGGAAAAAGCCTCCTTAATATCGCCTATAAGGTTCTGTCGAGCGTATTGTGTGAAAAACTGAAGTCCACCGTCAACACACTGATTGGACTTTATCAGTGTGGCTTCAGACCTGGTAAGTCAACCATTGACCAGATATTTACCATGCGCCGAATCTTGGAAAAGAACCGTGAAAAGAGGATCGACACCTACCATCTCTTCGTCGATTTTAAAGCCGCCATCGAAAGCACGAATAGGAGCTGCCTTTACGCCGTTATGTCTGAATTTGGTATCCCCAGAAAACTTATACGGCTGTGTAAACTGACGCTAGACAACACCAGAAGCGCAGTCAGAATTGGGAAGGACCTCTCCGAGCCGTTTGGTACCAAAATGGGCTTCAGACAGGGCGACTCAATGTATTGTGATTTCTTCAATTTGATGCTGGAGAGAATAATAAAAGCTGCAGAGCTGAATAGAGAAGGTACATTCTTCTATAAGACAGTTATCACATTCGAGACTTGGCTCCCACGACACTGTTGACAGTCATAACTTTGAAGTCCCAGATAACTTCGTCTATCTAGGTACCGGCATTAACACCAATAATAACGTCAGCTTTGTAATCCAGCGCAGAATCACTCTTGCCAATAGGTGCTACTTTGGACCGAGTAGGCAATTGAAAAGTAAAGTCCTCTCCTAGCGAACGAAAACCAAACTCTACAAGTCTCTCACCGTTCCCGTCCTGCTATATGGTGCGGAAGCATGGACGATGACAACATCTGATGAGCACGTGGATTTGAACCCGAGCCTTCCGAATGACATTAGGCAATGCTCGCCTATCGCGGCCGCCATGTGTGGTCATACATAACAAAATATACGCTATGAATTTAGAATTTTTTTTCCACAATATATGTCTTCAATCATATCTAATGTTAATTACATACATAAATATAGGAAATGTAGCGTCTGTTATGTTCAACAAAAATCTAAAACTTAAAACTTATTTAATTGTTCCAGTTTCATTAAACTTTCTCTTTGGTTTCCAATGTATAGCTATGCCTAGCTATACCTTTGATCTCTCTTTTCGACGTTTTTAAAGTAAAGTAAGTAAGTAAGTAAGATCTCATCCGAAACATCTTTTTGTCGCAGTTGCGTGTGATCATTCAAGCTTTAAAATCCACTAACATTTCAAATTGTTTTTTTTTTTTGTTTTTCTTTTTTGTCATTTCTTTTGTTTTATTTCATTAAATTTTCGTAACTCACTCACCAACGAATCGATTATGTTGAAAATTCTCGATTTTGCGGTTTCGAAGATTTCGAAAGTTGCAATGTTTTTAACGCAATTTATTTCAATCGAAACGGATTTAATGATTAGACCCATTATCTTATTATATTTTATATTATTATTAATATTAATTATTATTTGAGCAGTATGCCATTTTGTTTACATAAGAATATATGTACATACACGTAAATGAATCAATAACAGATTTCTGCAGTTATCTGAAACCGCAGATTTCAATTAAATTTACAAAATAAGATATCCACGCACGTGCACACATGCACACATACAATACACATGAATTGTAATTTTGAGCCAACTCATCGCATGTTGTCAATTATAAAATGTAAAACCACATTAGCTAATGAGATATTTGGTAATGACATATTGGATTTAGATCGTTATAATTAATTTGTTTGAGACACAGGAAGTACCATTATGAACATGTATGTTCATATGTATAAACACTTGTGGACCATTAAGTCCATTGGAGTAGTCCAATATGCTGTCCTCTGTAGAATGATATTGGACCAAATCAAGTCTTGCTACCTGCTTGTTGTTAGCCGAAGATCGCTGGCATAAAGTAACTCGCTGCAGTTTCCTGTGCTCAACACTCTGTGACTTATGCGAATGTTATGCAGAGGGGTGTATATAGTCTAGCCCAAGGAAATCGTAATGTTAATTGGACCATATTTTCATGGAGTGTTTACCCTGGATGTAAAAAACGCATTTAGCACCACGATTTGGTGTTGCATTCTGGCTAATATTGTCAATATGAAAGCATAAAACTACTTAATTAAAATAATTACAAATTTTTTAATGATTGAAAGTTGAGCTGTATAAATCCGAGTTCTATACGATCACGGCAGCCGGCCCGAAAGGATCTGTTTTTGGCACGCTCCTGTAGAATTTTATATATAATGGCATACTGAGATTACAATTTCCAAATAGAACCAAAGTAATTGGTTTTTTCGACGATATCGCTGTAGTCACAGTAGCCAAAACTTAGTCTGAAGTTGAAGACAAAATCAACGAATCAGTAAAAATGAAATCAATGACAGTTCACTGCTCTATATATCGGTTAGAGTTATTTCTGGCTTTCGAACGATATCTGATGAAGCAGCTTTTTTGGATCGGCTTTAGATGTCTAAATCCTTACTAAATAGGTAGAATTAATTAACTTATGCCTTAACATAAGATATTTCTTTCTAGATGACCCTGAACCTCGAAAACGATGCATTAAACAGTCTTTGTGACGAAGGCCTATGCAGCCAGTTCCTTCAGTTTCTAGCCTGTTTGTAAATATCACCAATTAGCGAACGGAGGCAAAACTAAATATCTTCCGCTATTAAATGAAGAATAATCGCATTCGTGACTCCGTTCCCACGTCTCACAGTTATAACTTTGAAGTCATAGATAGTTTCGTCTATTTCGAAACTAGCATCAACACTAACAACAACGCCAGTCTACTTTGAATTGAGTAGGCAATAGAAAAGTCAAGTTCTTCCTCGACGAATGCTGCAAAAGCGTGGACGATGTGTCGGTGTTGGGAGTTTCAGAGAGAAAAGTTTTGCGACATTGATATAGGTCAGCATTTACGCGGCCACGCTGACTTGGTCAGGTTTACAACACTGCAGATTTGAAAGTATTCGACGAAGTACTCATCGGTCTAAGCAGGGGAAGAAGAAAGCCTTTACTTCGTTGGAGGGATTGGGTGGAGAACGTTCTGATTTCATTTGGATTTCCAATAGGCCTCAAACGGAGAAAAGCTCGTGCAAGCTTTGTAAAATACTGATTTTTCTATTCGACAGGGTTACATAGCCCGCAATAGAGTTTTTAGGATCGATTGCTGATTCGATACAAAACAAAACCTGAACTTGTTTGGCGAGTGCTTTTTATAATTTTCTGGTTCGCTGGTATGTATGTATATTTATGGATAAATCATCTGGTTCATCTTAAATACAC